TACTTGAGCATGCGGTTGCGCGCCGCGACGGCGAGGATGATCCGCCGCTTCGTCATAAAGTCCTTCCTGTTCCGCTCCATGTGCCGCGCCATGAAGCGGATCCGCTCCGTCGCGACCGCTATCTGCACCTCGGGCGAGCCGGTGTCTCCTGGGAAGCGCGCCCAGCGCGCGATGGCGGCCTGCACGTCGAGCTGGTTCAGCTGCGGCTGGTTCATGTTGGCGCGCGACAGGGCCTGCTTCAGCTCGGCAGGCATCAGCTCCGCCACATCGCGCATGCTCCACAGCACGTCGCCAGGGCCGATGTCGTCGGCGGCGGGAGGTCCGGCCAAGGGCGCGGCGGTGGTGGTGGTGGTGCCGCCGCCGCCCGCCGTGCTCAGGGGCCGCGTGCTGCGGAGCGGACGCGCGGCGCCCAGAAGCCGAGGCGCGGCGAGCCGAGGCGACAGGAGTGCTCTTCGCAGTGTTAGCATCGCGTTCGCTGTGTTTTCTTTTTCTCATCTTTTCTTTGCCCCTTATCTTCTTGTTGTGTTGCTGTGCCCTTGTTTGTTCCTTCGGCACCTTTGCTGGGGGAGGCGACAGGGGGGGGGGCGCGGCCTTGAGTTATGTGTACGCCAACTCAGGGTCGTCTGAACCACAGCGTGTCCCGACTCGACTGCCGGCGTCCCAGTCCGGGGGTGTTTCTCTTCTTATCCGTTACCATGTAGAGCAACGCCGAGGGCGGGCCCTTTCGGGCTCGGGCCGCCCTCTCGCCCGCACCTCTGCGGGGCTCGCTCGTGGTAGCGGCGGTCTGCTCACGACAGTGAGTGGGCTCTTCACGCTATCCACTGCGCCGCGGCTACGCCGCGCCCTATCCAAGCCCAGGGCTTGGTTCGCCGATAACCGCATCTCGCTCTGCGCATCTCTGAGGCTACCCGCGCGCCGACTGCTACGCGCGCGGCGAGAGGCGCACCCCATCAGGGACAGGATTGAGGCCCCTGTACAAGCTCGGCAACGCCGCCGTCGTTGCCCTCCCGAGCCCTCAACACCGTGCTGCACATAGTGCAACCCGTTCTTGACCCCCCCCAATAACACACACCAGTGAGGGTGGGCGAGACGATCGAGGGGTCCCGTACCATGCGGAATCGACCCTATCAAGTGCTCAAGTGCTCAAGTTAGGAAGGTGAAGAACAGCCAGGCTCGGACTGA